TTTTGGAGCCTGTCCTGGAACTAGCTCTTGTAGACCAGGCTGGTCTCGAACTCACAGAGATCCGCCTGCCTCTGCCTCCCAAGTGCTGGGATTAAAGATGTGCACCACCACCACCGCCCGGCCGAAAAGCAATATTTTAAAAGGTGGGGGAAATGATGCAAATATACCTAACCTTTAAAAAATTGCTTTTGCTTTTTTGAGATCATAGTATAATTGCATCATTTCCCCCTCCCCTTTCCTCTCTCTAAGCCCCTCACGTGCTCCTCCTTGCTCTTTCAAATTCACGACCTCTTTTTCTCATTAACTGCTGCTACATGCATACATGTGTATGTGTGTATGCGTAGATATCCCTACAGAAGCCCAGGCTGCTCCGTGCATTTACATCCCTTGTCTGTTTCAGGGCTGCCCATGAGTATTGGGATAAACCACTGGTGGGCTCTCCCTGGGGACAGCTGTTTCTCCCACTCTTAGCATATCAAAGTTGCCGGTAGTTCTTTAGTAGGACAGAGGTCCCGTGGTTTTTCTCCATCTACTTAAGTCTTCTGTCGTTGGCGTCCTTGTTCAACTCATGTTTGGCAAACTGTGTTGGTGATTCTTTATGGGTCAAGCCTCTGATATTCCTAGGAGACCCAGGCTCACAGAAAACTCCCTGCTTTTCTGGGTCTTACGCTCTTTACATCCCTTCTCTAACAATGTTTCCTGAGTCTTAAGTACAGAAGGGTTTTGTAAAACTCTCCTTTGGGACTGGGCTCCACAACTCTGTATTTTGATTAATTGTGGTTTGCCAGAATAGCTGCATCTGTTAAAAAGAGAAATTTCCCTGGTGATGGATGAGGGTTGTACTTATCTGTGGTTATAAGGAAAATATCTAAAATTTTAACAAAAAGAAACTAACACGAGAATTTAATTGTGTGTGGTGGTTTCATTTCTATAATCTGAGCACTTGGGGGTCCTGAGGCAGGAGAATTTCTGAGAGTTTTCACTAGCCTGGCTTCATAGTAGAATGATAGCTCAAGAAACAATGAAAGAAACAGGCTAGAATGAGGCTTATCCATTGAGAGTACTTTCTTTTTGGTTCTGGGGCCCCCAAGTCAGGCTGCTCACAGCTCCCTGTAACTCCAGCTTCAGGAGACCCAATGGTTCTGGCCTCCTCAGCACCTACATTCATGTGTAACATGCCCACACACACATAAACATGATTAAAAATAGTAAAAAAATTAATATTTGCTTTAAAAAGAAAATAGACTTGAAACAAAAATAAGGTTTGTGGTGGTTTGAATGACAATGGCACCTACAGGTTCATATATTAAAATCCTTGGTCATCAGTGGCTAGAACTGTTTGGGAAAGATCAGGAGGTGTGGCTTCGTTTGGGAAGGACCAGGGGGTGTGGCTTTGTTTGGGAAGGATCAGGAGGTGTGGCTTTGTTTGGGAAGGATCAGGAGGTGTGGCTTTGTTTGGGAAGGACCAGGGGGTGTGGCTTTGTTTGGGAAGGACCAGGGGGTGTGGCTTTGTTTGGGAAGGATCAGGAGGTGTGGCTTTGTTTGGGAAGGATCAGGAGGTGTGGCTTTGTTTGGGAAGGATCAGGGGGTGTGGCTTTGTTTGGGAAGGATCAGGGGGTGTGGCTTTGTTTGGGAAGGGTCAGGAAGTGTGGCTTTGTTTGGGAAGGGTCAGGAAGTGTGGCTTTGTTTGGGAAGGATCAGGAGGTGTGGCTTTGTTGGAGAAAGTGTGTCACTGAGGGTGGAAGCCCATGCCATTCCCAGTTAGCTCTCTGGGTCTCCTGCTGATGGATCAAAAGTAAGCTCTCAGCTACTGCCCCAGGACCACCCCTTCTTGCCTGCTGCCAAGCTCCTCATCATGATAATTCTAGGCTCTAACTCTCTGGAGCCATGAGACCCAACCAACCCTTTTTTAAAATAAGTTACCATGGTCATGGTGTCTCTTCACAGCAATGAAAAAGCTGTCTTGGTTAAGACAGCTTATGAATAAAAAATTAAAAAAGCGAGCAACCTGTGGGCTGTGGAGATGGCTCAGTGGGTAAAGGGCTTGCTGTGTTGTCATGAGATCTGAGTTCAGATCCTCAGCAACCATAGGCCACAACCCCAGTACTGGGAGGTTGCTGTTGCTATCTGGAGAGTAGAAAATATCTATCTATGCTCCTGAACAGCACACAGAACACCGCCCCCTCCATGAAATAACCACCCTGCCCAAGACAGAACACTGCTGCTCCCGAGGAGCTCCTGCAGAGGAGCACCAATAGAAGCTCTGCCTGTTGTCTTCCCCAAGGAATTTCCCTTCCGGAATCTGTCCCGACACAAACATGCTAACTTCGCCTCTCAGTTACAAAGCCAGAAACTTAGTTTGTGAGTTAAAGTAACATGAAGGACGTAGCCCTCCACCTGACGATAATTCAGAGAAGCCTGAACAACAGGCAAAGCCAGAGGTGACACGTGTGGCAACTCAGTGTTGTTGGTCCTTTTATAGCCCATGACGATGGCCCAAGTTCAGTTCCTGAACGCCGTTGGCGACCTGCTGGACCTCATTCCCTCTCTGTCTCCCAAAAAAGGCGGCAACATGAAGGTGTTCAAGAGATGGGACATGGGCCACTGTTCTGCTCTTATTAAGGTGAGACCCACAGTCCCTGTCTTCTTCCCAGCAGCATGGACCTTTTATTAGCTTGTACTAATTACACACCACAATCAGTTTCCCGAATCACATTTTCCACACACACCTTTTCCATCTGTCTTTCACCCACGTGTAGTGAACCTCTCTTTAGCCCTGGCTGGCTGTGGACCACTGCATAGACCCTCCGTGGTATTTAAGAACTGGCAGGAACTCAGATGGAGGGAATTAGACACGGTGTCCACCTATTTCTTCCACAATTCTGCCTCCACTGTATGCATGCGCCATTCCTACCTTCCAGATCCTTCTGGTGTGTGCTTTGGAAGGACAGTCTGTGTTGCATACGTTAAATGTTAGTATTGGACTCCTTTGCCCATATTTTCCAGTAACAAAGAAAGCAATAATAGCGGAGATCACTCCGCAGGGAAAAGGCTCTTGCTGCCAAGCCTAGAGGCCTGAGTTTGATCCCTGAGACCCGCATGGCAGAAGGACAGAACTAACTCCCACAAATTGTCCTCCGACCTCCACATGTGTACCTGGCACACACACACCCCGCAGGAATACATGCACACACTCACACAAGTAAGTTTAATTATTTTTAAGAAGAGAACGCCATAAAGATAAGTTGACACAATCCCTCAGGGCTACCCACGTGTATTGGGCACACGCTTACCATTTGCCCGCACTTCTAACTGTGGCTTTGACTGCAGGTCCTTCCTGGATTTGAGAACATCTATTTTGCCCACTCAAGCTGGTACACCTACGCAGCCATGCTCAGGATCTATAAACACTGGGACTTCAACATCAAGGACAAGTACACCACCAGCAGCCGGCTCTCCTTCAGCAGCTACCCAGGTAAATAAATCCAGGGTGCGGTCTGAGGACCGGCTCCAAGTTAACTGGACGGAGAGACGAAACGTCCACAGCTGTAGTATGGTCGGATTTTTAAGAGCGTCATTTAAAGAAATTAAGTTGCCGTTTTTTAATAGAACGACCTAAGTGGACTCACAGTGCTTTGTGAATGTAAGCAGATGTGTCTGAATTCATCTCAAATGCTGAGAACACCTAAGTGTCCATTTCCAGGCTGACTGGTTCTAGCAGAGTGACTCGGTAAGTCCCGCCTCAGGATCCTGGTTTCCGTCCTTCATAGCGGGTGCCCGGTACTCCACCTGCCGTGTGTCCCCTAGCACCTAGCTAATGAATAGCAAGAGTGTGGACTTCTTGCCTCCGCACCGCAGTCGGGAGAGGCGGGAGTTACGGCAGCACTGGACACCACAGGCTGTGTCTTAGTTACATCTGCGGTTGTTGTAATAAAATGCCCTGATGAAAGCAACCTAAGGGAGAAAGGATTGACGCTGGCTGATAGTTAAGGGTGTGGTCCATCGTGGCGTGGATGTCCTGGAGGTAAGAGCTTGAGGCAGCTGGTCATGCTGCATCCTCTGTCAGGGAGCGGGAAGAGATGACCGCTCCTACTCGGCCTCTTTCTTCTGCTTACCCAGTCCATGACCCAAGGCTTGGGAGGGGGCCACCCACTTTTCCGGTGGGCCTTCCCACCCCTACTAACCTAGTAAAATAATCCTTTACAGGATTAACCAGAGCTAACCTAATCTAGGTAATCCCTCACAGGTTTAACCAGAGCTAACCTAATCTAGGTAATCCCTCACAGGTGTGCCCAGAGGCTAATCTCATCTAGGTGACCCCCACAGGTATGCCCAGAGGCTTGTCTCCTAGGTGACTGAAAATTCTATCATGTTGATGATCAGCATTAACCATGAAAGCTATAGAAAGTTTTTGTTTGTTTGTTTGTGGTAGAGTTGGTTCGGTTTTTCGAGATAGGGCTTCTCTGTGTAAACCCAGATTTTCTAGAACTCTGTAGACCAGGCTGGCCTGGAACTCAGAGAAAGCTGCCTGCCTCTGCCTCCTGAGTTCTGGGATTAAAGACATGTGCCACCACCCAGCGAGGTATTGAAGTTTAATAAACATTAGGAGTACCCCAAAGAGAGGGTGCCACATCTGCTTGGTGGGAAAAGAGCGGCTGACACTTGGGATGAGCTGTAGCTAGAATTAGAACAGTAGAGAGGAACAGGAGGTGTCTGAGAGAGGAGGGCTAGCAAACCCGAAGCCTAGAGGACACAGTTGGTGACTGTCATTGAACAAAGGGCAGGAATAAGATAACAGAGAGAGCAGAATTGTAGTGATGAGCGGGCATGTTGAAAGGACAGAAGCCCGTCTCATGCTCTGTGTTCAGGGAGCCGCCATCAGCTCTATGGAGACAGGTGGTCGTGTGCCTTTGGCCTGGAGGAGGGCTAGGGCAGAGCTGTATTCTGTAGCCACATCAGTTGTTAGACAAAGTAGACCATGACTTTTCAAGATATTTCTAGTGAGGGATGGGAAGCTTCTAGAACAGTGGCCTAACTCTTCTTAACGCTGAGACCCTCATGTTGTGGTAACCCCAACAATAGTTATCTGGTTGTTACTTTATAACTGTGATTTTGTGCTACTGTTAGGAATATGTAAATATCCAATATGCAGGATGGTCTTAGGTGACCCCTGTGAAAGGGTCCTTCAACCATCCCAAAGAGATGGTGGCCGACGTTGAGAACCACCATTCTAGAACAAAGCTGTCCCAAGGGCTGCCGTAGAGGTTCCGGAACTGGGAACGCGTATTTTCTTGCAGAATCACCATCTATGAGACAACTTTATGTATCTCAGTGGGAGGCAATAAATCCCTTGCAAAGCCAGGCTTGCCTTTGAAGCAGCCTTGGAGCAGGCAGGAGCAGCTACTCAGAAAGACACATACTACAGAAACGGAGCCTGTGGGGCCAGAGGTGGAGCCGAGAGTACAGTTTCCTATCATGTGGTCCAGCCCCACCCCCAGAGCCAAGAACAGGTCAATAGATAACCTTGGCAAGTTTGAGGCTTAGAACACAGCCTCTGTAATAAAAGTTGCTCCAAGTCTGACAGCTTGGGCATGAGCATGCTGCAAAGGAGGAGCAACTGGAGGGCTTTGCTCTTGGGACCCTGCAACAGGCACAAGGTCTAGAATCCTTCATATTGAATCTGTGTGTGGTGTGTGTGTGTGTGTGTGTGGTATATGTGTGTATGTGTGTGTGCACGTGTGTGTGTGGTGTGTGTAGTGTGTGGATGTATTGTGCATTGTGTATGTGTGGTGTGTGTAGTGTGGGGGGTATATGTGCATTGTGTGTATGTGTGTGGTGTGTGTATGTGTGGTATATGTGTGTATGTGTGTGTATGGTATGTGTGTGCATGTGTGTGTGTACATTGTGTATATGTGTGTGGTGTGTATGTATGTGTGTGTGCACGTGCGTGGTGTGTGTGCTTGCATGTGTGGTGTGTATGTGTGTGTGGTATGTGTGTGTTGGGAAGCTAGACAAAAGGTCCCAGGTAAAGAGACGGGTAATAAGGTCCCATATGAGTCCCTCTCTACACTCGAAGCTGCCTGTGTTAGCCTAGCGAGTCTTAGCCAACAGAAGGAGATTTAGAAATTTTCTAGAAAGGTAATTTCTGTGCTAGACACTGGTCAGGAATACGATGCCTGGCATGATCTACCTGGTTGGTCACAGGGTGGCGGAGGGAGGCTTAGAGGATTTTAAGGAAGGCATTTGAGAGCGGAGTAGGTACGTGTATGGGTGGGGTGGGTCTTCAGCCCTTGGCTGCCACACCTGGCCATACCTTCAGCTTTCTCAGTGCTTCGCACGGCAACAGCTACAGGCCATCATAACAAATTAATGAACCTAATAATTATTAGAATTACTTCTTCCAGTGTTAGGACTTAAAAAGATGAGATCTGGAGCTGGGTGCAGTGGTGTTCACCTATAATCTCAGCACTCGGGGGTGGGAGCAACAGGCTCAGGGGTTCAAGGCAGCCTGGGCTACACAAGCCCTTGTCACAAACAAAACCATAAAAAAGATCAATGTAAATACTGGATTCATTGCAATTGATCTTCTCCTTCACTTGAGCATATGTGTTCATTTAAATATTTGGGTAATGTTTTGTAGTTTTACATACAGCACTAATCAGTTTTCCATCATGATAATAAAATACCTGACCAAGCATAGTGACATACACCTTCAATTCCAGCATTCAAGAGGCCAAGATAGGCAGATGTCTGTGAGTTCCATGTCTGTGAGTTCCAGATCAGCCAGGGGACTAGGGGACATAGACTCTCTCTCTCTCTCTCTCTCTCTCTCCCTCTCTCCCCCTCTCTCTCTCAAAAATAAATAACAAAAAAAAAACATGTATATAAACACCAGGTGGCGTACATGCCTTTAATCCCAGTAGTTGAAATGCAGGAAAGGGAGATAGAGCTCTGAGTTCGAGGTCAGACTGGTCTACAGAAAAAAGTTCTAGGACAACCAACGCTATACAGAGAAACCTTGTCTCAAAAAACCAAATACATAAATAGATGACAGACAGACAGACATGTGAGGGAACAAATGAAATGCCTGACAATCTTATGGAAGATGAGTAGTTTACTTAGCTTGCAGTTTGGTGCGTTTAACAGCACAATGTTGACAAACGCTTAGATTTGAGCGACATCACATGACAGGTCAAAGCTAAAGCATTGCCAAAGTCAATGCATCTCAAGCCAGGACCAGGGAGAGAGAGGACAGTCCTTAGTCCTCAAGGAGACCATGAGAAGCACTGGCCCCTAGGCCTCAATGACAAGGCTCTCTTGGGAGGCCTTACCTCCCCAAAGTGCTACTGTCCTCCAGTAACAACAGTAAGACCCCAGTCTGAATAGATCCTTGAGGGACCCTAAACCAAACTGAAATTTGTGCATATGTTTTAATTAAATTTATTCTTAAATAAGTTTTGGTGCTATCATAATCAAAACAAATGTTTTTTTTTTTCATTTTTCCTATAGTTCATCATATGTTTGTGCATGTGTATTAGTAAGTCACTGCTAACTAACAAAGAGTCCTAAAAAATTAGCAGCTTAGCACAGTGCTGGGCACTTAGCATCTCATGGGCTTTGTGGACCAGCAGCTCAGATACAGTGAGGGAAATGTGTCTGGGCCTCAGCTAGAGGAGAAAAGACTGGGGTCCTGGAGGGCTGGAAATGTGGGTGGCTTAACTGAAACTTGGGGATTCCCAAGGGCACTCAGGGGGTGGAAGGTTTGGCTGGTGCTCCTTCCTCTCCACTCCAGGCTCTCCTCAGGAGTGACTAAGTGTCACTCGATCAAGTGACACTGGAGAATGAGCTAGTCTGCCTATTGTGACCCAGCTCAGAGGTCACACATGGCCCCTTCCACCGCATTCTATTTATCAGAAGTGATAGATAATAAATAAATAAATAAATAAACAAGTGATATAAACAAACAAACAAATAAATAAAGCCTAACTTTTTGAAACAAAAACTGTCAAAGTATTTGTGGACAAGTCAAGGCCACCACTGCACCCTGCTTCCAGGTGGCTGCAGAGAGGATTCTGAGTTTGAGGCCATCCTGGGGCACATAGTGAGACTCTGTCTCAAAAAAAAAGCAAGCAAACTACCATGTAGACAATGATTTTGTTTTGTTTTTAATTTTATTTTGAGGCAGGCTTTCATTATGTAACCCTGACCGGCCTGGCACTTGCTCTGGAGACCAGGCTGGCTCTACAGTCACAGACTTATACCTGCCTTCACCTCCTGAGTGCTAGGATTGAAACGCCTGCCTCAGACGATGCATCTCACTGTCACTTACCTTCCTGAGGTCTTTTTTTTTTTTTTTTTTTTAATATGGAACGCTTCACGAATTTGCGTGTCATCCTTGTGCAGGGGCCATGCTAATCTTCTCTGTATGTTCCAATTTTAGTATATGTGCTGCCGAAGCGAGCACTCCTGAGGTCT